ATCGCGCCCAGCGCGTAGCTGCCCACGCTGCCGAAGACGACAGCGTGACCGTGGCCCACCAGGCCCAGGACGGCCATCAAAAAACGCGGCACCTTCGCGATCCGCGTCTTCACGCACAGGTGCTCTACTGCGCCCTGCGTGCGCCGCAAGGCGCGTGATCCTTCGTCTTGCACCTCCTGCTTGCCGGCGGTCTGGCGCGCTCGCCCTGGCGCGTGACGGGGTCGCGCGCTCGCCCGACGCCACCGTCGAGCGCGCGCGCGATTCGACTCCGAAGGCGATCTCGCGGTTGCCCGCGCCGGCGCGCCACGCGCCGAAAATGCAATCGACCAGATCGACCGCGCAGAACGAGGGGCCCCCCGCATCCAGCGACCCAGCCGGCACGCTGCCGCAGGGCGGAGGCGGCGGTGGACGCTGCCCTCCCGGAGCCTGCCGCGCCCCAGCCGATCCGCCCGCATGCCCAGAGAAATCGATCGCGCCCTGCCCGCGCCGGCCCCCCCCGTCTGTTCCCCGCGCGCGCCCTTCATGGCCCGCGACGCCTGGCGCTCCGCAGCCGGGCGGTTGGCGCCGCAGCCGCACATCCGGCACTTCTTCTTCTGTCCCTGCTGCTGCTATGGAAGCCCATGGCGATGATCTGGTTTACTCTTATCATTTTCATGACCTTCGCCTGTCACTCTGTCCTCGCCCTTTCCAACTTCTTCTCCTCCGCCGCCGCCCCTGGGCGACAGCGTCAACGGGCAATCCTGGTCGGCGCGGCCCTTTCTTGCAATGGCCGCGCGCGGGAGCCCCAGCCCGGTCGCCGACGGCTACGAAGTCCATGGGCTGGGCTCTTGAAATTCGCCTGCCGAGCCCACTCAATCTCGTCGACCTCGCTCCGGAAGTCGGCGCGCGCCTCGCAGCTCTCGCCGCGCAAAATCTGATGCTCCTGCACGAAGCCCTGATCCACGCGGTTATAATGACGGCGCCGATGCTCACATTGTCGGCCACACTCGTGCCCCGGCCCTCCACGCGCTCGGCCGCGGCGCGGTCGAAGCGCTCGATGGCGACCGCCAGGGCACCTCCTTTGGAATCTGCATGGAGGGACTGGATCATCTCGAGAACCTTCGCCTGCTTCGTCTGCGGCTCATACCGCGCGCGCCGCGGCCGCCCTGCCTCAACGCCCCGGCCTTCGCCCGCCCCCTCGACGAGCATCGACGAGCACAAGGGCCTCCTTTCGCACGTCGCCACCAGGCTGCCGCGCAGCATCGCCGCTGGGCTGCGACTCGCGACGTCGCTCAGGGCTGCCGTCGTCGCGTCGCCCTCATTCTCCGCCGCAGCGCGGCACATCCACGCGCTGATCTGACCTCCCTACAAGGCGCCCGCGTCGCTCTGGAACTGCACGCCTCACGCGCGCCGCGCTTCCTCGTTGCCCGAGAATCTGCCCAGCGCCCACGTCGAGACAAACGCGAACTGCGCGCCCGACTCGGTGGCGCCCCCCTGCTTCTCATCCCAAGCCTCGGCCGCGGCCTTCAAGCTCTCCTGGGCCTCGGCGGCCCGGGTCGTCAAAGCCGCGACATCCGCGTTCTCCGCGGCGTCGATCGCGCCCAGCTCCCTCGCCTTCTCTATCAGCTCCATGATGCCCTCACTCATGGTATGGACACGCGCCTCGGCAGCGGCGGCGGACGCTGCCCGCCCGGGTCCCGCCGCGCCCGGGCCGAGCCACCCGCGCGCCTGGAGAAGTGCACGCCCTGCCCGCCCAGGACCCGCCCTCTTTTCGTCTGCCCCTTGCGCGCCTTCTTGTCTGGCCTGCGACCCCTGGCGCTCCGCGGCCAGGTGGTTGGTGCAGCCGCGCTTCCAGCGCTTCTTCTTCTTCCTCCAACCCTGCTGCTGCTGCGGCCCGCCCAGCCCCTTCCCCTCCGCCGCTTCTCTGGGCGACAGCTTGATTGTCAGTGGGGCCCTTCTGCCTTTTGCTGCCGCGCGCGCGCGCCCCGGCCAGGCTGTCGGCGGCCGAGAAACCCGTCGGCTGGGCGCCCATGATGTTCGCCTCCCGAGCCCGCGCAATCTTGTCGACCTTGACCCAAAAGTCGGCGCGCATATCGCAGCTCTCGCTGTGCAACAGCAAATGCTCCTGCGGGAAGCCCTGATCCATACCCTGCATGATGGCGCCGACGTTCACATCGTCGGCCACTGTCGTGCCCTGGTCCTCCTCGTATTTGGCCACGGCACGGCTTTAGCGCTCGATGGCGCCCATCAGGTCGCCCCCTTTGAATCTCATTTGAGAAACTGGATCATCTTGAGCAACTTCGCTTGCTTCGTCGGCGGCTCATATCGCGCGAGCAAACGCGGCCACGCCTCAACGCCCTCGCCTTTGCCCGCCTCCTCGACGAGCACCAGGGCCTCGCCCTCGCACGTCGCAGCCAGGCTGCCGCGCAGCATCGCCGCCAGGCTGCGACATGCTGTGACTCGCGATGTTGTTCAGGGCTGCCGTCGTCACGTCGTCCATCTTCTGCGCCGCAGCGCGGCCCATCCACGAGCTGATCTGACCGCCTTGCATGGCGCCCACGTAGCTCTTGAACTTCACGCCCCACGTGCGCCACGCTTCCTTGCCCGAGAAACTGCCCGGCGTCCACTTCGAAACTAATGCGAACTGTGCGCCCGACTCAGTGGCGCCTCCCTGATTCCTCTCCTGGGCCTCGGCAGCGGCCTTCAAGCTTTCCGGGCCCGCGCGCAGCCGAATCCACTGTGGACGCAGCAAATGAGCTCCTCGCCCGTCGCCACCGCGCTTACTTCTTCGTGCCAGTACAGCTTCGGAACGATAGCTTGCACCACTGGATTTCCTAAACATTCCTGTTGTAATACAGTTGGAGAAATGAGTAGGGTCGCTCACTGGACAATACAAGCTCGAGGACGCACAGAATCTACGCACTCCCCCCCGCCAGACAGCTCTCCCTGGGAGAAGCTGGCCCTTTACGGACTATTGCCTCTCATGCGCTTCGAGCTCGCTTGCACCGCGGCTTGCTCCAGGATGCCCCTGAACTGCCAAAACACTCTCCAAACCGGCCCACCTTCCTCGCGAGACGCGGCATCAAAACGCACCCTCGCGCAATGCATCTGTCGGAGTGCTCCGGGCCGTCTCGATGGGAGCCAACGGGCGAAGCCCATGTTCAGCGCGAAGAGGCCCGCGATGGGAAAGCCGGCGGGCACGCACCAGCCACCCCGCTCGCGACGAACATGCAGGAGAAGAGCAGGGATAAGTACAAGTCGTTGATCTCCATACATACGCTTACCAAAACCTGCACCGCCCTGAACCACCAAGATGCGGACACCAATGATTTAATTTAGTCTTCAATCGCCGATCCGGTCCAAGAGGTTGCCGAACGCGCCCGAAAACAGCCCAAGACTGCCCCAAGACGGCCCGAGACGGCCCCAAGAAGGCCCCAAGAGGCTCCCGAGAAGGGTAACACCAACCGACAATTCGATCCTTCCGCCCCGAGAGACCCCCACGAAATCCCCAGACGGCGCCCAAAGAGGCCCCAAGAGGCCCCCAAGAGGCCCAAGAGAGCCCCATCCTCACTCCCGAGACATCCCCAAGAAGGTAAACTCAATGATGCTCCTTGAGTTTGGTATGTTTTTCGACGTCGTCGTCGCCGTCGTCGTCGTCGTCGTCGTCGCCGTCGTCGTCGTCGTCCCCCTTCAGTGTCGGTACCCCGCCGCAACTTACGATCCAGAAGCCTGGAATTTCCAGCAGCCGCACGGACGGAGGCTGGTACTTTTTTCGGAAGGTGGCTATCTCCCTACCTCCGCGCAAAGTCGTCTTAAAAAAAATGCGCTAGCTACACGGATGGAGGCTGGCACGTGTTCCATGGAGGCCTAGAAATGAGCACCAACACCAACACAGGGGGTTGCCTCCACATGGGGAAGACGATCCTAGATGTCGGTGTTGGTGGCAATATTTCGGTCACTTTGGAAGCCAGAATATTACCACCATCGCCGAGATCGGGATCGTCTTTCCTCGGTAGCTGCACACCGCCGATTTTGGTGTAGGTGTCAATATATGGGCCTCCATGTGGCTCTCGCTTCAGTGGCGCGCGCTCTAGACATTCTAACAGCCACACGGACGGAAAGCGGCTCCTTTTCGACATGAGGCTTCCGCTTGCGACTTCCTCAAAGATATGGCCACACACTTGCACTTGTCGAACATCTACACGGATGGATGGTGGTACTTCTTATCACATTGGTATCTCGCCTGAAACGTATTTAGAGTCTACAACCGGACATGAAAGTTGCGCAACAGCTACACGGATGGAGGCGAGCTCCTTTTCAAAGCGTGGCTGTCAATGGGCATTGGCTTGAACTGTAAAACCCACCTTGACACATTCCTTATGACTCGAAAAATGGACGGCGGTTTCTGGAAAAACGGAACTCCCGCCAGACCTGCGGACCCAAGGGGCGCTCGTCTTTCAAGGGGGTGCTTCGTGCAGTGAAAAGAATGCTTGCAGGGACTAGCGCGGAGATTTGGGACCAGAGAGGATGTGTTGCAGCATCGTTGACACATCTTGGGCTTACCCCCTGGTCCTCCTCATCCTACTCCTCCTCTCCCTGCTCCATCCTCCTCCTCCTCCTCCTCCTCCTCCTCCTCCTCCTCCTCCTCCTCCTCCTCCTCCTCCTCCTCCTCCTCATCCTCTTGTCCTCCTCCTCCTCCTCCTCCTCCTCCTCCTCCTCCTCCCCCGCGCGCGGGTTGAGGTCGACAACACCCTCAACGACGACAACGACGACGACGACGACGACGACGGCGCCGACGCCGACGACGCCGACGACGACGACGACGACGACGACGACGACGACGACGGCGGCGGTGGCGGCGGCAGCGGAGGCGACAGCAAGGCGAAGACAAGGGAAGGCAAGGCGGCGGCGACGACGACGACGATGACGACGATGACGACGACCACGACGACGACGACCAGAACCACCACCACCACCACCACCACCACCCCGGCGCGGCGCGGTCGCGGCGGCGGGCGCACAGGAGGTTGCCATTGTACGGGCACTCGTCCACCGTCTCCGAGATCTGGCTCTCGACGGTCAGGGCGCCGTCCTGCCCAATGATGTTGTCCTCCCCGGGCCGCCCCGCGGCGGCCCCGCGACGGAACGACGTCGCCGCCGCCCGCGCCGACGTCGCCGTCGCCTGCGTCAGATAGGGAACGACGTGTGAGCCTCGGCCCCTGCGAGGATCCGAAGTTCCCCAGAGAGCCCACATGACAGGGGGGGGGCGTCCTAGGAGGGGCGTCCTAGGACGCTCCCCCCCTGTTCCCCGACTTAAGGGGGGCGTCCTGGGACCCCAGCTCCCCGACTTAAGGGGGGCGTCCCAGGAGGGGGGGGGTGCGCAGCATGGCCAGAGGCACGCGCGCGCACGACGGGGGGCCAGGTGACGCATGGAAGAAAGAGGAGGGGGCCACGAAGTCTGGGGAGGTGTCCCCCTTCCTACTCATCACCCCCTTCCTACTCATCACCCCCTCCCTACTCATCACCCCCTCCCTACTCATCACCCCCTCCCCCTCCCTGCACCCCCTCCCTCCTCATCCCCCTCCCTGCTCATCCCCCCCTAGTTGGACACCCCCGAGTCGGATTTCTGACACGCCGGCTGGGGATCAGAACTCGAAGGACGTCTGCAGCCAAGTGCGGCCCAGCTGGGGCGTCCAGTACCCTCGCGTCGACTGCACCCGAGCGGTAGGGATCGCACTTGCTCGCAGATCAAAACCGCCGTCGTCGTCGTCCTCGCCGTCGTGGCCAGACCCGGACAGCAACAGCAAGAAAAACTCCTTTACTAAAATGTGTGATGCCTCGACATGCAGCGTGCGAACATCGCAATAGCCCCGCGTGGGTGCGGTGGGGTGGGGAGCGGTGAGTAGGCGAGGGGGGGGGGCGGAGGAGGAGGAGGAGGATGGAGGGAGGGGTTCGGGCGAAGTGCTCCAGCCACAAGCCCCCGGGTGGCCTCAGGGGGGGGGGGGGGACGAAGAGGAGGAGGACAGACGCCAGCCGAGAGGGCCGCGAGCACCTGCGAAGCCGCTCACTGCGCACCCCCACACCAGGCCTGGTGCCGCTGGTCGGCCGAGCAGCACGGCGTCTCTCGTCGCGAAGGCCTCACACCCTTGGCTCCCGTGGGAAGTGGCGGCACCAGCCTGCCAGCGCTCACGAAGGACCAGATCCAAGAGGAGAAGGAGGAGGAGGAGGAGGAGGAGGAGGAAGAGGAGGAGGAGAGAGAGGAAGAGGAGTACCTCCGCACGATTAGTTCACCAAGCCGCCACACTCACTGTCTACGACAGCAGCAGCAAGTGGATTACCTTTCCCGATTTACGCCAGGCGCCAAAACTACTCCAGCTCCACAATCTTTCTTCTGCGGGGAGACACTGCACTCCCTACTCAAAAGCCTGCACCCGGCGCTGGCTACGCCACCGAGATGAGCAGACACCTGGCCAGGTCTCTCTTCTCAAATCGCATTAAGTTTTTTTTGTCCGAGCGAGTTTTCTTAATTCCCTGAAACAGTCACACACAGTCGGGCTCATGGAAGTTTGTTTTTGTTTTCCCGGGCGCGGATTTTTCGAGGAAGGTCGCGCACAGTCAAGCACACGTGGGTATTACAATGTTTTGCTAATGCTTTTGGCGTTGAACTGCTAGTTTCGAGCGCCCCCCGCAAACCCCGCAGAAAGGGGCATAAGGCATGCATCAATGAACGTTGGCTTCTATTGCTGCGTACCGCGGTTGAGAAATGGTGGCTCCATTCACTTGCGGCGCTTTGATAAAGAGCCAATGCCAGATTTCAGAAGGCACGGGCACGCCAACGCTAATGAGGAACGCGAGCGTGGCAAGCGAAAGGGCCGACGTGGCAACGGCGGTTAGAGCAACACCGCAGCGAGGCCGAATCTCGAGACGATTGCGACCGACAGACTTACTTTGCGGCATCGTTCCGTCGCGCCAGGGCCCCAACACTCACCTTCAGCGGATGGTGCCAGCGCCCCCAGTGTTATTTTCAACGATCCACGCAAACTTATTTCCAACCCACTTTCCACCTATTCCTGACTTTCCTTCGTGTGGGCGAGCATCGACATATGTACATGTACGCCCTCCACGGTCTTGCCTGCACGAACGTCCGCACCGACACGCACTCCAGGGGAAACTAACCGCGTACGTCTACACATGTTGCTGACCGCTGATCGTGGGAGCCCCTTAGCAGGGGATCCGCCATCATAACCCGAGGAGGCCTCCGAGGATCATGGGGACGTAAGACCTGGGTACAGGGGACTCGGAAATCCCCGACGAGGTCGTCAAAAAAATGACGAGGCCGAGCCTGCATTTTGACGAGGCCTCCCGCTGCAGACATCCCGCGAAACTCCTCCTCGTCAAAATCCGAGGCGCGGTCGTCAAAAAACAATGGCGAACCCGAGTCCTGGCAAACCCGGGTCTTACGCTCCCCCGAATGTTGCTGGCCGCTGATCGTGGGAGCCCCTTAGCAGGGGCTCCGCCATCACAACCCGAGGAGGCCTCCGAGGAGGCCCCGCTCCGAGGAGGTCCCCCGGGGAGGCCGGGGAGGCCCCGAAGGCCACAGGTTCGTGGGAGCCCCTTAGCAGGGGCTCCGCCATCATAACCCGAGGAGGCCTCCGAGGAGGCCCCGCTCCGAGGAGGTCCCCCGGGGAGGCCGGGGAGGCCCCGAAGGCCCCAGGGAGGCCCCCGCCCCGCCGGGCGCCCCCATCGGCAGCGCGCGGCACCCGGCGGGGGCGCGCGCCGGAGCGCGGCGGGTCCAGGCTCATGTCCGACAGGCACGAGAACGTGCGCCTGGCGCGACGGGCGGCCGACGATGGAGGAGAAGGGTCGAGGATGGCCGAGGGAGAGGAGGAGGAGGAGGAGGAGGAGGAGTTGGAGGAGGAGGAGGAGGAGGAGGAGAGTTGGAGAGGAGGAGAGGAGTTGGAGGAGGAGGAGGAGGAGGAGGAGGAGGAGGAGGAGGAGGAAAAGGAGGAGGAGGAGGAGGAAGAGGAGGGCGGGGAGGAGGAGGATCCCGGAATCGATCGGAGAAGGGAGCATGCTCCTTCGCAGCCTGCGGCCGTGTATCACACAAACTTGAAAAGAGCCCAGAACCCAACACAATAAAAGACGACTGTGCTGAGTTGCTTCCTGTGGAATCAAACACTGGGAACCGAAAGCGGGGGCAACATGATGCCCCACATACAGGGCACCAGGAAGCCAACCAAGATTCACCAAACCTGGGTCAAGGGAGCCTTCCTTCGGGGCCGGCATGTCAAAGGCCTCGCGTGCACGTTCTCGGCGGCCCCATTCGACCACCTCCCGCGAATCAGGTTCAGGGACTTCTAAACCGTAGAAAATTTCAAAATGCCTGACCCCGAGACAAAATCGGAAATGTTCAACTTATCAACCCACCCCACTGAACTCGGACCTCCAAGGCCGGCGCGCACAACTGCCCGAACTTAGGAGTTGTGGACTTTGAAAAAATTAGGATCGGAGGAAGGAGAGGAGAGGAGGATGAGGAGAAATATAACGGAGGAGGAGGAAGAGGATAACGGAGAAGGAGAAGGGAAGATTGTGGATAATGACTATAACCGGAACTCGCGCCCCCTCGCGGGCGCGCGCGAAGGGCGAAGGAGGAGGAGGAGGAGGAGGAGGAGGAGGAGGGGGAGGAGGGACAGTGTTTGCTTCCCCACCGCAGAGACGCCCTTCGTCCTACAGCCACGGCTCCGCGGCGGCGAGCCGCCCGCGGGCGGGCACACACCCGACCGCGAGGGCGGAGGAAGAGGCCGCCGCGGGACGCCGCGGGGACGGCAGGCGGGGCGGCAGGGCGCCCTGAGGCAGCGGGCGGTGCATCCCCGGCGCCGGGCCGCCGACGGCCCAGCGCCAGGCGAAGAGCCCACCCAACGCAATCAGAGAAACTATGGCTTCAGTTTGTGTCGGGGTTTCGGTTTTCTGCTATGCCTGGCGGCCCATAGGGGCCAGACGGATCGCGAGGAGGCGGAGGAGGAGGAGGAGGAGGACCGCACCACGAGCAGCGGCGGCACCGGCACCACGGGGCAGCCGCATGGGGGGGGGGAGGCGGGGGCCCCCGGAGAGAGAGCCAGAAGCACTCTTATAGAGGAAAGAAGCCAGAAACGCTCTTAGAGGAAAGAGAACGGTGCACATGCACCGCTTCTTGCCAGGCCCATCCTGAGCCCAGGATCGGTGCATGTGCCCTCCTGCCGTGGCCAGGAAGGTATATGCACCGATCCTGGGTCAAGGATGGGCCTTGCCAGGATCGGTGCATGTGCATAGTTCTCTTCGCCCGACATTCTGGGTGGAGACATGACGGTCTCAAGAGATCTCGAAAGGATCCAGAGTGGACGGAAGCCCCAGGATAGCTAAAACGGTCTCTGCCGTTCCCCTCGAGATGGGAACAAGCGGCACCACCACCACCAGCGAGAGGAGCCAGGGGGAGTCTCCCCAAAGGGCCACAGACGCTTTCAAGCTACGGGTCCGACCTCAATTCTCAAGGTCATAACCTCGCGCGTCGCGCCCCGCGAAGCGCGACGCGCGTTCATCTTCGGCCTGTCCACCTGGAGAGGAAGGGCAGCCACCCTGGTCCAGGCCGCGGCGCGCGAAGCGCGGCCACCTCTGCGCCCCCAGTGGGGACCTGGACTCTGGACATGCTTGCTCTTCCCTCCAGGAGCGGAGGCTGCGACCCCCAGCGCGAGAGCCTTCGACCATCTGGGCGGGAGGCGGCGGAGGTAGAGTTAGGTCGGGCCTGTCCCCCTACAGGGGGATCTTGGGCGGAAAATGAAAAAATATCCCAGTGCGACCCTACCTAGGAGTTGGAGCCTCTAGGAAAGCAATAGTGGATGCTGTGCTGCGCTATGCTATGCTATGCTCTGCTATGCTCTGCTATGCTCTGCTATGCTCTGCTATGCTATGCTATGCTATGCTATGCTATGATATGCTGCGCAATGCTATGCTGGGCTATGCTATGCTGCGCTATGCTATGATATGCTATGATATGCTGCGCTATGCATACTGCGCTATGATATGCTATGTTATGATATGATATGCTGCGCTATGCTATGATATGATATGCTGCGCTATGCTATGCTATGCTATGCTATGCTGCGCTGTGCTATGCTAAGCTAAGCTATGATATGCTATGCTATGAGATGCTATGCGATGCTGCGCTATGCAATGCTATGATATGTTATGATATGATATGTTATGCTATGCTATGCTGCGCTATGCTATGCTGCGCTGTGCTATGCTATGGTATGATAGTATATGCTATGTTATGCTAATGCTGCGCTGCGCTAAGCTGAGCTAAGCTGAGCTAAGCTGAGCTAAGCTAAGTTAAGCTAGGCTAAGTTAAGCTAAGCTAAGCTAAGCAAAGCTAGGTTAGGCTAGGTTAAGCTAAGCTAAGCTAAGCTAGGCTAAGCTAAGATGAGATAAGCAACGCTAAGCTAAGGGGACGTAACTGGGGGAACCGCGGGGCGGATCCTGCCTGGGGGAACCGCCCGGGGCGAGCCCCACTGCCCAGCCCCTTTAAGCTCAGAGAGAAAAATCCCTTCTAGGCAGAGCCTAGGTAGGGAAATGCTCAAAAAATGCCGAAAAGATGCCCCAAAATACTAACAAAAATTGTCCCCAAACTAATGTTTGACTGTTTTTGCATACCCCTCGTGTAGAGGGACAGGCCCGACTGAAAGGCAGAGGATGGCAACATGGCACGAACAAAGACTGCCGGAGCTCCGCGCGGGGCCCCCGCCCCCGTGGCGCGCAGAGCGCGCCGGAGCGGCGCCAGAGGCGCCGCCAGGGCCCAGCGCCGATCCCAGAAATCCGCGCGGAGCTCCGCCAGCCTGTGCCTGTGCGTTGTGCTCCTCTCCGAGGATCGGGGACGGACAGACCGCCCTTTAGTAAAAAACGTGGTTTCGTGAAAACGACCTCGGGCCCAAACCTGGCGGGCGCCATCCTGGAACATGACGGCCGCGGCGCCCTCTGGAGAAGCGGAAACGGACAATTCACTAATCGACGTGTCAGGGTAGGAGGTCTGTCCACCCCCGAGAGGAGGGAAGAGGGGGTCCAGCGCCGATCCAAGCAATCCGCGCGGAGCTCCGGAAGTGCACGTGTGTGCAGTTTGCCTCCTTCGAGGATGGCAGGAGGGGGGGAGGGCCACCGCCGATCCAAGAAATCCGCGCGGACCTCCGACAGTTTGTGCGGCTTGTGCGTTGTGTCCTCCCCTGGGGGCGAAGGGTTGTGGGGGGGGAGTTGAGTGGGGGGCTCTTCGAGGGAAGAGGGGGGGTCGGGGATCTTCAGACCCGGGTCAATCCAGACCCGGGTCAGCAGGAAACCAACAAACTGCAATGTCGCGGTCACAAGCGGCTCGCTAACCCGGGTCAGCCAGAGGGGCTCTTCGCAGGATCCTGCAAGATCTGGCGCTCTGGCTGGCCCCCGTTTGCCTTGACCCCCGTCTCAAGGCTCCCGAGGGGGGGGGGGGGGGCGGAAGTCCCGGGGCGGGGAAGTCCGCCCCGCTCGGCGGGGGCCTCCCGGGGCAGGGAGCGGGGCGGGGCGCGTGTGGAGGAGCAGCGGGGGGGGGGGGCGAGCAGCGGGGGGAGGAGCGGCACGAGCGACCGAACCGCCCTCGGACCCCGCCGTCTGGTCTGCTGGCAAAACCTGCGCAGCTCCGGACTGCTTGCCCCGGGAGCTGGCGGGGAGCAGCTGCACCACCGATCGCCTCGTGCCGAGGGCCTGCTGCCCGAGGGGCGGCACGGGCGGGGAAGCGGCACGGGCGGGCGCCCGCTGCTGTGGGGCGGGGCTTCGGGGGCGGACCACGGGGGGGGGGCGGCGGGAGCGGCAGCGGGAACGAAGGACAAGGCAGGATGGTAGGGCAGGGCAGGGCCGCTGTGGGGCAGGGCCGCTGTGGGGCAGGATGGCTGCCGTGGGGCAGGGCCGAGGGAGTCCAAGCCTGCCCCGGCAGGGTGGAACAGCCAGACGAGCAGATCACCTCCCTCCTCCTCGGCTCCAAGGCATGGGGAAGGGAGAGGGAAGAGCGGGGGAAAAGGATAGGGGAGCGGCGGCGGAAGCGGGATAGGGAGGGGATAGGTTGCCATCGCTCGGACGGCCGTTCCCCATACATTGTGCTTTTGGCGCGTGTTTGTTTCTCAAGATGCTCACAGATGCTGCAAGATAGTCTAGATGTTCTGGCGCTGGCCTCTCCAAAAAACATATGCACACGTCCGAGCGATGCCAAGAGAGGTAGGAGGGGAATCGGGGAGGGGGAATGGGAAGGGAGACAGAGCTGGAAAGAGGAGAGTGTGAAAGGGGGAGGGGGCGGAGGGCAAGGGGCAAGGGGCAAGAGGGGAGTTGGAGGAGGGAAACAGGGAGAACGCCCGAGTTCTTTGGGCCCCTGTGCCGATCTTGGACAAGCTCCGAGCGTGGGCGAATGAGGACAGCAGCCAGTGCGTCACACGGTTCGGCCAATGGCATTTAGCCCAACATGCGTCGAGGAGATTGTGTCGCTAGGAACGCTGTCTTGCGAGAAAATATGTGGGCTCGAGTGGAGACCGCGAGAAGGCCAAGCTGCGTTCATGACGCGCACAGCGAGGCTATCAAAAAATCTGTTTGAAAAACGGAAATACTGTCGATACATTCGAGAATGCTACTGGACATCTTCAAACATTCATGGCGTACAACAGCGTTGAAGCCACATAACGGAAACAACCGTCTACGGCAGGCCCGTATACATCGTAGCAGGGAGCATTGAAATACAGCGGATATCACTTCTACTTTCAAACGTCGTCGTCAAGAAGGTCTCGTGCACTTTGGCATGGGCCACAAAGAGAATGCAGAAATGCGTTCGTTTCAGGATTTGGCACGACCCCGTGAGGTTTACGTGACAAATGCTGTGTTTTTTCCGATTGGATGGAGATGTCTTCGGAGCTCGGGCAGAGCATCTCCACCGTATGGGGCTCAGTTCACATACAGCGGAAGTTTTGCCCGCTGGAGTACGTCGCAAGCCAAGGCGCTGCAAAGAGGCGTCAGCGGCCGGCCGAACACGAGTTGGATGAACTGTCAAACCAATACGGGAAACGGCGCTGGAGCTGGCAGCTCAAATCCGATCCGCGCGGATTTACACTGTCCACTGATTGCCCGATGGCAGGCGTGTCCAACGGAGAAGTTGTTCTAGCCGATCCTCGACTCGAGCCCGTGCTTGTCGGAGTGGAGTGGCCCAGCTTACATTTCAAGTGCTGGACAAATCTAGAAACCGGCACGAGACATCGTCGGCGCGGTCGATTGGAGACCGCGAGAGTAAAATAAGATGTTTAAACAACTAGCTGATGTACCAGACGATGGACAAGCGCAATCATGATTACACCGCTTTCCTACGCCAGGCGATGTTATTTGGGATGCTCTTAGGCTATTGCTGTTGCTGCTGCTGTTGCTGCTGTTGTTGTTGCTGCTGTTGTTGCTGCTGTTGTTGTCAATGTTGTTGTTGTCAATGTTGTTGTTGTCGTTGTTGTTGTAGTTGCACGTCGACGGCGGCACCCAGGCAGGCGGTTGCTCGTCAGCCGTTTGGTACTTAAAGGGCGTAGTAACTGGTCGCACGAATGGCATCCGATTTCCTACAGCTATGTCTGGCACGTTTGCGCAGCATCCTGTTTCATTGTTGAGCGCAGACATTGGCAACCACCATCGTATAGCATAAAGCTAAGTAACGACCGTCAGCATGCTGACCTGGGCCCGGGGAAAAGAACAGTCAGGGGGAAGGGGGAAGGTACAGAAGGGGGAAAAGGAAGTGGATGGAGAAGGGAGAGGAAATCAAGGGGAGAAAAGAAGGGGCGATGGAGAATGGGAAGGCGAAGGGAGAAGAGGGCAGAGAAGAGAGGGGGCGGGTGAAGGAGGGGAGGGGAAAGGGAAGGGAGAAGGAATGGGAAAAGGCGAAAGGCGAAGGGGGAAGGGGCGGTGGGGGGGACAGGCCCTAGGGGGGAATGGGAGCGAGGGAAAGAGGAAGGAGGGGCAGAGGGCAGGAAGGGACCGTGGAGGGGACACCGGGGGGAAACAGGAACAGAAGGGAACGCCGAGGACACGAGCCGCTCGCGCGCGCACCCGACTGCATGCCCCAAGGGCTCCGCGGAAGCTCGCCAGCCCATCGCGTCGATGGTCGCCCGCGGGCTCTGTGCCCGTCCATCAGGGGCGGCCAAGGGGAGGGGGGGGGGCGTCCAAGAGGGGGCTTCGCAAACAAGCCATGGATGGAGGCATGTGCGCGGCCGAGGAGGGCGGCAAGGGGACGCATCGATCTAAGAAGGGGGGCCCATGAAGTCTGGGGGACATCGTGGCCCTGGCCAGCATCCAGTCCTGTGCCTGTTCTGTCCATGCCCAACGTTCGGGGGCCAGGTGGAAAAAGCGGAAGGAAGAGAGAAGGGAGATGGGGGAGGAGGGGGAAATGGGCAAGGGGGGAAAGGGGGGAAAGGGACACGTGGGCAGCGCACGGAACAGGAGAGGAGGGCAAAGAGCGATGGCGGGAAACGGAAAGGGCTCAGCCGGGAGGAGCTCCGAGACACGCGCACGGCACGCTGCACACCCTGATGAAGCGGGCCCTCGCTGCCGACGCCGCGCGAGCAGCTCGCTCGTGCACGACCTCCGCCCTCGTGAGCCCTCGGAGGCTCTCGACCCCGTGCTCCGCACGGACTTCGCGCCTCGGCGCCCTTCGCCCGCCGGTCCCCCTGGCTCGCAACGGGGGCATCCCTGGGGGGAGAGCACGACTCTGGAGCGGCCAAGAGGGGGGGGGTCCAAGAGGGGGGGCTGCAAAGCATGACCGGCGGCACGTGCGCGGCCCAGGGGGGGGGGGCCAGGGACGTGATGAAATTGAGGAGGGGCGCCATGACATCTGGGGAGATATCAGGGCCCACGCCATGAGATCCACCCCCCCCCAGTCGTCACCCCCCCCTCTTCCGCCCCCGAAACGAAGGAAACGGGCCCATCCCGGGGCCCCGGGGCCTTCCCCGGGACTGGCCCCTGACTCCCGATCTGCTCTCTGATGGGCCCCGGGCCTGGGAGGGACCCCATCGAGGGGCCGAAAAGAGCCCAAGACCTCCAGGACCCGCTTCCCGTAGGGCCCGCATCTGTGCCGATGCCCAGCGTGGCGGTCAGGAGTCGGCCCCCCCTGGGCCTGGCCAGGCATGCATCGTGGCGGGGACTTCGAGGAGCCCCGCGGCGGCGGAAGGGAGGCCCCGGGGGCTCCCAGAGGCGAGACGACAGAACAGACCAGGCCCAGAACCGCGGGCCTCTTCGCTCGGACGTCCATTCCCCGTGCACTCTTTGGTTTCGCGCGCGTGTGTCTCTCAAGAGGGTCCCCAGGTGCTCCGAGATACTCCAGAGTCTCTGGCGCTGGCCTCGCCGAGGAAGAATGCACACGCCCAAGAGCTGCCGAGGACGTGCCGAGAGGGTGCTCCGCCTCAGACGCCCGTGCCGCCGCTGTACGTCGAGGCTGCGTCACTAGGGGGGCCACATGCGAGCCCTACCCCCTACCCCCCACGATTTCTGAGGGGGAGGGTGGGGTTCACTTCGTTCGGGAGCTCCCGAGCGAAGTGAACCCCACCCTCCCCCTCAGAAATCGTGGGGGGTAGGGGGTAGGGCTCGCATGTGGCCCCCCAGTGACCTCATGCCGCGTCCTGCAGGGGCTGGCCTCTGGGTGCTCGCGTTGCACCCGCTCACCATCGGGAAGCAGTCCTCGGCGGGATGCCCGCGCCGGGGCGTCCTCCCGTCCTCCGCCCCGCCCATCCCTGCCCGAGCTGCTTCCTCGTGCTCCGTGCTCCCCCTCCCCGTCGTCCTAAGGAGGGGGGAAGGAATGACGCACGTGCATGTGCATTTGCCCAGACGCCCACCCTTCGGGTGATGAGGAGGTTCGGGGGGAGGAACCAACGCCTCACGCAATCGATCTCACTCTCGATCTCGCAATCGATCTCACGATCGATCAAACAATGAAACCTCACTATCGATCTAAAAATCGATCCCACTACCCTTCTCACTGGCGATCTCACTATCAATCTCACAATGGATATCATTATCGATCGCACTATCGATCTCACTGTCGATCTTACTGTCCTTCTCACTGTCGATCTCACAGTCGATCTCACAGTCGATCTCACAGTCGATCTTATTATTGATCTCACCCTCGAAATCACTATTGATCTCACTATCGATCTCACTACGGGACACCGACGGGGCACCAACGGGAAACGGACGGGACACCACGGGACACCATCAGGACACCACGGCAGGGCACCCCCAGCCACCGCCGGGCAACCCGGGGGGGGGGGGGGGCGGTCTTTTGGCCTGGCGGCGCCCTAGCCAGAAGAGCGTTCATTCCTCTCGCTCGCCCACGCAGCTTCGCCTCGCCCGCGCGCACGACACGAACATGAAACCGATTTCCAAGGTGGGGGGCCCTCGGTTTCACTGCGATCTTACTCCCTCGCCTCCGATAGACTCCCTCTCGTATGTCTATGAATTCAGACCCTGCGGAAACCCTGCGCCCACCCCCCCGAAACGGGACCCGCGGCTTTGCTGGAAGTTTCTGCAGGAGCTCCCCCAGGCTTTCCAAAGCTTCTGGAAGCCTCTGCTGGGCCTAGGCAACGTGCCCAAAGCGGTCAGGAGGCCGAACGCCCCCCCGAGGGCCCCAGCCCGAAGACGACCCAAATGAGACCCCTCAAAAGCTTTCAAAAAAGGCAGAAAAACATTGATTTGTCCAAGGTATTTGCACGATTTTGGGAATGCCCTGTTCGGTCTTCTGGGCGTCCGAGACCACCTAGGAGGCCCGAAAATCCCCGCAGAGTTATCCGAAAGGGCTTCCAGGCAGTCCAAGGGAGCCCCAAGACGGCACAACAAGGTTTCAAGATGGCTCTAAGAGAGCCCCTTGATGGCCCAAAATGGCCCCAAGACGCCCCCCGACGCACTGCAAATTTCCGTGAGGCTCCAAGGGGCTACCCAAGGAGGAAGTCGCAAGGTAGGCCGAGAATGAGGGAAAGGAAACATGCAGGAAGGATACTGAATAACACTAGTATAACAGCGATGTCGGAGAAGGTAACAAAAAAATATCGCTAATGTGTTGACTTTGCCTTCCTGTCTTTCCTCCTGCATGCCAAACCTCGAGGACCACGGTGAATGGCACGAAGCGCAAATGCCTTTATATACATATACACGTATGCATAACCATATATATATATATATATATATATACATGTCTATGTACATATATATATATATACGTATTTGTATATGTCTATACATATACATATACGTATGATAAACATATATATATATATAGACATATATATATGTCTATGTATATATATATGTATATCCGCACGCACCATGAAGCCCCATGACCCCACCCTGTCCTCTTGGAAGATGGCAAAAGGAAAGGGGCGGTTCAGATGCGTGCGCGGGCCCTGGAGGCAGAGGTTTCGGAGGGGGGTGGTTCGTCTGTTGGAGACGACGGGTGTTGAGTACTGGGAGTTGTGTTGTAGAGGGAGAGAGTGGAGTAGAAGGTTATTGTCAAGTTCAGCTTGAGGAAGGGTGGCCTGCTGAGTTTTGGGTGTTATGTTGTAGACTTGAGCCAGAGATCCCTTCTGAAAAGAATCTTCAAATTTGAATGCGACATACATGACTTCAAATATTGTGAATGCGCAAAAAGCGAGGGTAATGGTGTGTGCGGAGGGCTACATATAAATGGCTTGCGATATCGAACATACCATAACTATAAGACATCACACAAACATATTGAAATACAAACATGTGTACATGTATGTTTGTAGGCATACATTTCTATATGTGTGTAGACATGTGTATACCGATGTGTGCACATATCTATCTATATATATATATATACATATATACATATATATACATATATATATAAATACATGTGTGCGTGTGTATGTATCTGTGTAGATAACGCCACCCTGGAACGGCCTGTCACCTCGCAACCATCGGCCGCCATTTTTTGATACCCTATCCCCCGGGCCTCCAGGAGGCCTCAAGACGACCCAAAAAGGCCTCCCAGGTAGCCTAGATACTCCACGACGGCCCAAGAAGAGGCCCAAGAGGACCAGGGGACGATCCAAAAGTGCTCCAAGAGCTCGCAAAATGGCCCAACACGGCCCAGGAGGCCCCCAAGATGCTCCAAGAGAGCTCCTGGCGCGTCCCCAAGAGGCCCCAGGGAAACCAACATCAGTGATTTGCTTGTGGCTTTGGAATGACTTTATCGCTGTCGCCATCGAGAGCTTCCGACGGCCCAAGACAGCCCAAGACGCCACCCAGAGACCCCCAAGAGAGCGTAAAGACGGGCCCAGGGGACCTCCAGACCGAGGCCCATGACGGCCCACGAAGCCCCCGATGACAACGAAAGAGGGGCCCAAGAGGGGGAACCCGAGCTGGCAGTTCGAGTCCTCTGCCACAGAGCCACGTCGAGGACGCCAACAGACCCTCACGATGCCCGTAAGAGGCCCCCATTAGGCGCCAAGAGGCTCCCAGGAGGTTCAAAAGAGAGCCCAAGGAGGCCCCCAAGACGACGCAAGAGGCTGCAGAACTGCTTCCAAAAAAACTTCGAAGAGACATCCAAAGAGACCCATACAGGTATCCTGGAAGCCTCCTCCTCTCCCTCCCTCCTTGTCTCTTCGTTGCCCCGTGTGTACATATATACATATGTATACAGGTATGTGTATACGTGTGTGTATGTGTGTATGTGTATGTATACACATGTGTATACATACATATACCTAGACATCTGTATATAATGTACAATAAAAGGGACATGATCATGTACCACTCTTCTTCCCGGCAAATCGAGGCTCTCAAACAGGGATCGAATTATAAACTCAACCCCGTTAGGAGACATGTTCAGACCCTTCCCCAGCTCCGCCAGATGGAGGGGATCGGGGCAACAACGACGACGACGACGACGACGACACCGCACTGGGGATGCCCCATGGGGGGGGCAACGCAAAGCCCGGCGTCGTGGGGTAATAGGAGTGAGGATAATAAGAATAGTAGTAGTAGTAGTAGTAGTAGTAGTAGTAGTAGTAGTAGTAGTAGTAGTAGTAGTAGTAGTAGTAGTAGTAGTAGTAGTAGTAGTAGTAGTAGTAGTAGTAGTAGTAGTAGTAGTAGTAGTAGTAGTAGTAGTAGTAGTAGTAGTAGTAGTAGTAGTAGTAGTAGTAGTAGTAGTAGTAGTAGTAGTAGTAGTAGTAGTGGTAGTGGTAGTGGTAGTGGTAGTGTAGTAGTGGTAGTGGTAGTGGTAGTGGTAGTGGTAGTGGTAGTGGTAGTGGTAGTGGTAGTGGTAGTGGTAGTGGTAGTGGTAGTGGTAGTGGTGGTAGTGGTAGTGGTAGTGGTAGTGGTAGTGGTAGTGGTAGTGGTAGTGGTAGTGGTAGTGGTAGTGGTAGTGGTAGTGGTAGTGGTAGTGGTAGTGGTAGTGGTAGTGGCAGTGGTAATAGTAATTGTTGTAGTCGTAATAATAAGTCAAATACTAGAAATGGTAGTAGTGGTAATAGTAGTAGTAGTAATAGTCGTAGTAGTAGTAGTAGTAGTAATAGTAGTAGTCGCCGTAGTACTAGTAGCGGTAGTAGTAGTAGTAGCAGTAGTAGTAGTAGTAGTAGTAGTAGTAGTAGTAGTAGTAGTAGTAGTAGTAGTAGTAGTAGTAGTAATCCCACCAGCCCTTTAGGGCGTAGGTGGTCTAGGGAGTTTCCTCTGCCAACCCCCTTCTTCCCCTTCGGGGAGGGGTTTACCCCTCCCCTTACCCCTCCCCACTGACCTGGACGGGGCCGGTCGCGAGGTGTCAGAGCGTCCAAGATGGCCCAAGACAGCTCCAAGAGCGAACAGGCGAGAAAACACAAAACATTGATTTTACCTAGGTTTTGGAAGGATTTTGGCATCTTGGGGGGGCCCAAGAGGCGACTCGAGGCACTCTGGAGGGGCGGGGCTAATAAGCAACCCCCCCTTCTTTGATAGATCTCCTCCAAGATGGCCCAAAGAGCGCCCCGAAGGCTCCCAAGAGCGCCCCAAGAGCGCCTCAAGAGGGCCCCAAGAGACCCCAAGAGGCCCCCAAGAAGCCTCCAAGACGTTGCCAAGAGACCCCCAAGAGGCCCCAAGAGAGTCCAAGATGGCCCAAGACGGCTCCAAGAGCGAAAAGGCGAGAAAACAGAAAACATTGATTTTATCTAGGTTTTGGAAGGATTTTGGCCTCTTGGGGGGCCCAAGAGGCGACTCGAGGCACTCTAGAGGGGCAACGCTAATTGGGGACCCCCTCTTCTCTGATCGATCTCCTGCAAGATGGCCCCAAGAGCGCCCCGAAGGCTCCCAAGAGCGCCCCAAGAGCGCCCCGAGAGCGCCCCAAGAGGCCCCAAGAGGCGCCCAAGAGGCCTCCAAAAGGCTCCCAAGAGACCCCCAAGAGGCCCAAGAGGCTCCCAAGACGGGTCCAAGAGCGAAAAGGCGAGAAAACAAAAAACATTGATTTTACCTAGGTTTTGGAAGGATTTTGGCCTCTTGGGGGGGCCCAAGAGGCGACTCGAGGCACTCTAGAGGGGCAGCGCTAATTGGGGACCCCCCCTTCTTTGATAGATCTCCTCCAAGATGGCCCCAAGAGCGCCTCGAAGGCTCCCAAGAGCGCCCCAAGAGCGCCCCAAGAGGGCCCCAAGAGGCCCCAAGAGGCCCCCAAGAGGCCTCCAAGAGGCCCCCAA